ATTACCTTAACTGCAACATAAATAAATAAATTGTATACTTACAGCCCAGAGCACCACGTCATAACTAACCTAGTAAAGTGGTAACATACAATGGCAGTGCTCGTATCTATCTCATTAAAAAATAAACCTCCTATCATTTTCCTGTCTCGGCACTGTCTCAAGCATGCACAAATGCAAAACTGCTGCGCATACCGAACTGCTCTATTATCTCAACAATTAAGAGGCGATACTAGACATTATGAGCGTTGGGGCTGCACAAGTTATAGATTAAAGTGCTGTCTAGTTTAGCCTGAGGCCAGACAAAAATGGAATAGTTTTTGGGAGGTAATGAACGAACCGAAAAGACTGCTCCATTTTTCCTCAACCTTGTGAAGTTTCGCAATCGACATGCTGCAAGCCCTTTTTTAAAAGTTGGAGATCAACCTCCTTTTTTGGTAGGATGATCAGCAACAATTTAATCTAACTATGCATCAATTGGGTGACCTTAGGTCAATAAGACAGCTTCCTTACACCTCCCCAAGAAACGCTTAGATAATTATGTGTCCCTTGTTTTCTCTCGATAATCTGAACCCAAACTAATACCAGGCAAACCCAAGACAACAGTAATTGGTAAAAACAACGCTACTCATACTTTGTGAATAGTATTTTAAATGTGACAATTTTAAGTGTGTTTGTGTACAATTGTATATGACGCACCAACACGTTAAGACTATGGTCTTCAAAAGCGTCGCCTATTATCCTCACTAAATATACTGAAATAAACGGAAAAAGATATAATTAACTACAAAAGGTGTACATGAAACAACTGCATGCTAAATAAGTTACCATTTTACCGAATGCGATTTTTTCGGCGACAGGAATGACGTGGCTCCAGATTCCGGCTTTTTCGAATGAATAAAGTGTGTTGGGATTATGTTACGTGTTATGTAATCCTTCCTTATCAAGGAAATATCTCAGAATTTCCCTTAAAAATCCACGATACACATCAAATACGCGTATTTTAACATTGTCTTAGCACAGAAAATGAGCATAAATTATGAAGATTCAGTGCCTCCGTGCTGTTTACTGAAACAATTCTGAGGACGAGAGAGTATACTTGAATGCAGGGTCCCTGTGTTGGTATCTTCCTCATAGACTGTTCACAATTGTCTTTGTGATCCACTCTGAAGCTTTATCAATTTAGGCAGATGATTCAGTGTGATCAGTCATCTTAAGCTGCAGTAACCATTAAATAGATCTCAGTGAATCTGAAAATTGCATAATGAGGCAACTTCACCCCCTAATCCGTTCCGACATAGATGCACACTGACTTTTGAGTCAGTGCAGAGTAGGTCACCTATCTCATTCCATAACGCTTCACCTGCCATGTAGAGACTTGAAAGTGTCATCGTGTACCTGCTACCGGAGTGATTTTCCTAAAGTGAAAATTCGATAGCTGAAGCAAGAAGTTTATTGGCCTGACGTTTCAAATTCTCGCTTGAACACATAATCAGAGACAGTATCAGTAATAGAGGCACAACATGCGCAGTATTTACAGGCTGTTGTGGCTACGCGATCACACATTTACTGCAATAATCAGCTCTCACGATCACTGTGGCTGATTCGACGAGACCCGACCAAACATTCAAATTTGATGAGGCCGTGTGCGCCGCGAGTTGCGTTAGTCATGGTCTACGCGCCCCCGATCTCTCAACAA